AATTTAAATAAAAAAAAAATTTTTGCCGCAATTGGAATCGAACACCGTTCGGTAAAATAAATGTCGAACCTTCTGACCACAGAGCCAGCATATTTTCATTTGCTTTGTTTACGTTTAGATATCATAAGCTTCAGGCTTGGTAACAGAGGGTGGGGAATGTGCTTGCTCGTCAACTGTTCAAACTCGCAGTCTTCTCTAAAAAATAAGACGGAGATAGATAGATATATTCTCTGCTCTGTCTTGCTCGGAACAGATTATTGAAGAATTGGTAAATTTCTTGGTACCCTAAGGCTCCCTTTTTGTAGTGCATCCCTGAAAATTATCATTTTTCGAACGATTTCCCTGTTACCTAAATAGCATAAAAAATGATGAAAAATACCTTTATTTACATATTTATAAAACTTACGGATATACATTTTTTTTATTGAATATAACAAAACATCAGTGCTCTGCAGTGATCTGGGTGCGATCCGCAAGGTCCACACAACCAACTTCCCAATGGAAATTCAGAATTTATCATGAGATTAAATTTCTGTTCCTTTACAACAATTGAAATGTTGTAGAAAAAAAATCGTTGTTAATCACGATACATAGTACATTTGCTTTAGTAATAACAGAAAATTTGTGCAAGATGAACACCAATACCTCGCACACAACCCGTTTTCTAATATTCATAACAGATTTAATTGTTATGACCAGAAATAGGGAGTTTCCATTAGTATCATACGGTTGGTAACTTTTTTTTAGTAAAAAAAAAATTACTTGTTGGACAAATTCAAACATATCTCATATATCCTTTTTTTATTATTTATAACAAATTTCATTGTTATAAACAAAAAAAATATGTTTTTATTAATGCCATACAGTTAGTAACTTTTTTTAGTAATAAAAAAAATTATGCGTTGGAAGAGTTTAAATATATAGGATGGATCCCTATTTTTATTGTTTATAACAATTTGAAACTTTTTCTTTAAATATTACCATAATCAATAATCATTTGTTAGTAACAATGTTTAATTGTTATGGACACAATTCCATATTATTAACAATTATTATTGACTATTTTAGAGTCTTTAATGCTGTTTTCTCAATCCTGACACGAGTTTAAAATTCTTTCATTGCTGATTCTGTTTTTGAAAGATTTTTTTGTCGATGAAATATTGTCATCATATTGTGATACAATTTTTACAAACATAGAATATTCATATTTTCCAAAAGATCTCGTAATTTTGTCTAAAAAATGATATAATTTAGTACTTTCAAAATTCAGGTAGTTTACCATTTTTTCCAGTTTTGAGATCCTGCATAAGAAACTATTAGACGGATTTTGCTAAAAACCTAATTCGTTCTAAGTTGCGCAATTACGTGTCAAATGCAATTGGTCCCACATTGATATGATTTTTTGTTACGTACATACGTACATACGTACATACATTCACACAGACGTCTACCGGAAAACGGTCGTATTCGACTTTAGGGACCTTAAAACGTGGATATATGTCAAAATTCGGGATTCACAAAATCGGACCCATTACTATAACTTCCCACTGGGGAGTTAAGAATCTATAGCTCAAAAACTATGAATTTTTTTTTTTAAGGACTAATTTCAATCGGAAGAGCATAAAAAACTACGAGATATATGTCTTTGCAATTTTTGAAATAACATTAACGACAATGAGAAAAATCGCAATATAAAAATTTTCAATTGTTATTGATGAATTATTTATTGTCACAATATTCATCGAATGTAATATGTTGTATTCAGAGGGGAGGGCCGCAATTTGCTAATAATATTATAATTACATGAATTTTTCATAACAATTGAACGAGAAGTTATTTTTAATTATTTATATGGCTTTATTTCATCAGAATTATATTTGATCTATTATCATTTGATACATTTCAAATTTAAATTCGATTTTTTTGTCCTAACAACTTTTTTCTACTCGGAGATTCGAACTTACAACTACTCGCACGTATATGACTTAAACCTACGCTTTAACCTGCTTAGCTATCCTAATACCCTTTTGTATACAGGAATCTTTAAATAAAAAAAGAATAAGAACAACGATTTAATTCATTTATCGTAACACAGTTTTTACTCAACGCCGAGTGATGTCCATCTTCCAATAGTCAAAATCTACTCGTCAACAATCAATTTTTAGAACTGAATATGAGGCAAAAAAAATTTCTTCACCGTGAAGTTTCATTTCAATCTATTCAAATGATAAGCTCCAAAATTTTTTTCAGTTGTTTGTAAAAGTTTTATAACTTTACCATAATATCAATGATCTTTTAAAGATGATTGCAATTCATAATATTTGAAGTAAAATTAAGTTTATCATTTTTACCTGCTACAAAAAGCGTTACAAGCTTTACAATTTTCCCCGTGTCATAGCAGGAAATTTTTGGAACAAAATTATGTTGGTTTTTCGTAAAAACTATTTATTTCTATATTGGTACCGCTGCGAAGGCAATGTCTTGCACTTATAACACTCCGAGAAAAATGAGCTTGTAATTAAAAATTGGTCCTCAAAAACCTTCATCCAGTCCTGTTCTTAAAATTATCAAACACTCAAGTTTGTTTTTCACCACAGTTTTCAGTGATGCACAGAAAAAATTCCTTTCTTACGTTTCTGTTTTTAAAATGGATAAAACTAAATTGAATTAATCAATGACTATTATATCTATCTATTGTGTAAATATATTTACATATATGTTTATTAAATATGAATGATGATCTTCAATGCTGAAAAACTAATAAAATACGGAAAAATATAACTAAAAATTGTTGCCGTCAATTCTTATAAACAAATTGATGATAACAATTGAGAATGATCGTATGTGTCACACATACAGCTTTCAAAAAAAATAGTTCTGAGCACACTCTATCTGTACTATCACGACGGGCTCCCCATTAGTAATTCTTTATAACAAATTTAAATAATTATAATCAATGTATGTTGAAAGCATCCGAATCCATGTGATATACACATTGCTTAATCAATAAATACAGTTTTTAATTGTTTATAACAAATTCATATTGTTATAAACAATGCGTAGTTGTTGATAGTCATATTTGGTTGTAAACAATAATGTCTAGTCAGTATCGACACAATTCACGAATGGAAATGTTATTGTTTGACTTAAAAATATTCCCTAAAAGGAAGTTAATCAAGAGTGATCTGCTCATCACTCGCGCCAAGTCCACGTCCCACTTTCTGTTTCTCACTATTTTTTACATTATCTCTCTCTCTCTCTCTCTCTCGCACTCCCTTATGACAGCGCGCAACAGCAGACACTCTATACAAGAAATTTTACCCTCCCCCTTTCCTCTCAATTCTATTTTTTCTATTAACTTTTAATGTACAGCACATACGCATAATTCATCAATAGATTTGCCATACAAATCATCTATGAGCTTTTATTTGCAGCATTAATCATAATTTTCAATCTATTTATTGAAAAGATATTCATCTGTTAAGATTGAAAGTCTAAACTTTTCTAAAAAATATTCGACAAAAGTCAAGATTCTCAGATTTCTTGAGTTAGCAACTCTACATCAATAGACTACATATGAGAAAAATATTCTATCTGCCATATTATATGTTATCCGTAGCCAGAAATTTATATTTCCGAATTTTTTAAGTTGGTAATCGTACATAGGTCTAGAGTAGCAGTAGATACTCGGCGCCAAGTGCACATTCACCTTCTTTCCCTCTCTTTCTCTGTTTCTTACTAGTGCGCTCTTTTCCCCATGAGCACCGAGGCATTTTTCGTTAATTATTGACGGAGTTATAAATAAGCCACGCCCCTAACAGCGATATTTCTGCTATTCAAGATTTTTTCGCTTACTTTTTCACTCTTCTTCATCGAGCGTTCTATCATGTGTTATCTCTTACTGAATGTGTCTTTTGTCACTTACTTTTACGTTAGAGCCTACAGCCAATATATTACAGTTCTTCGTACATAAGGACATTTGAAACTGGATTGGGCAGACTTTAAAGCAAAATTGGGCCAAGTTCCATAGTTTTTTTATTTTGAAGATAATTTTTTTTTGTAATTCAAAATTAACCTAAATTTCATAAGTCAATAGTACGTTACTAGTTCGAAAAGATCATGAAAAAAAGACGCGGCTAACTTGGCGTTTTACTTGATTTAATCTACAAAAATAACTGAAATCCTCCAAAAATTCCGGGAATAAAATATAAAATATGATAACCGTATACTTTTTCACTGAAATATTTGAAAATTTTTTTAAATCATAAATGCTCATGAAGTATTTTAAAAATAGAACGTTATCAAAATTGGGCAAGGCCATCAATTTTTTTACAAATAAATATTTTTTTCGGTTAATTCAAATCACTCCAAAGATCGCTGTTAATTCTTAAAATTTTATTCGAAGAATATTTTTGTAAATAAAATGAAAATGATTTTTGAAAAGTCTTTAGTGTTTCATTATCAATTGGAACCAAAAAGAGTCTATTCCATTTAATAAATGACTTGGCATTCCATGTGATTTCAATTATTTTTGGTATCCAAACATTCCAATAGTATATCACATATGAATGTTGTTATATCAGAGTCACTTAGAACGTGGACTTGGCGCAAATTTTACCGACATCTGGTGAAGTCGGTTTTGGTAGGTAAGTATTATTCTAAAAATCTTAAAAAGTAAAGACATGTTCAAGTCTACACTATATGGAAATCGGATTGCTATAATAATTTATAAATCGTAAATTAGCAAAATGTGTAATTGTGCGGCCTTTATTATGCAAAAATACCGATACATTCGATATCAAAAAATTAAATTCTACCTTAATTTGTCAAACAATAACTTAATGAAAGAATAATTATATTTTTTTTCTAGCATTACCTACAGTCGGGTACGGGTTCTTACAATCTTTTTTTTTACATTATATCGTAAGAGTTGAACTAATTTTTAATTTGGTCTAAAAATTTTCTAAAGCTGAAATTATTAATTAGAATACATAACGTACTTGTATTTCACAACTTTGTTGATCTGATCGAATAATAGGTGCATTGTCATCAATATTCCTAACATGAATGTCAATATTGTAACTTGAACTGCCACTGGTAACAATGAATGCATATTTTTGCATTAGGGGATACTCATAATCCTGTTTATTTGTAACATAAATTTTCCAAACTCCATTTTCATTCTCGATACTTGCCCCAAGTAACTCATTATTGCCGTAATCGAATCTGCCGATTTGAGGGCTATCACTATCTATAAATTTTCATTATGTAATTTTTTTTCATATAATTAGAAAATTATAATAATTTAAACGCTTTTATTTCAAGTACTTACCTGCGAAATTAATTATTTTTGCAATGCAAAAAGAATGATTCACTTCTTCGTTGAATTCAATGATAGTGAGTTTGGTGTTTGAATAATAACGCATTTTCACATCAGCTTCAACATGATTTTCTGGTTCTTCGAATGGAGGAGTACTCCATGAAGCCTTTATAAAAACTAGTTTAAAAGCAAGTAATACGAACAAAATATCACAAATTTTGATGTGATCCATTTGACCTCATCAATCAACTTTTGGAAAATTGACACAACTAGTGTTATTTATGTATCGATGTAATTAATATAACTTTTGACGGAAAACTGAGGATTTATTATCTACAATGTCTAATGTTATCAATTGATTACAGGTATAAAATTGTGAATTCAAGCCGCTATTGATCGTCATTTATCAATCAAGTATATAGACTAACATTGAGATGGTACACTTTAGAAATAAACATACCATGTAAATGTATCATCGATCTTAGGTCTAATGTTTGAAAATCAAAATCTGAGTAAATTCATAATGTTTAGGAACCAGATAATAATTTTCAGTTCTTTTACTAAATATCTTCTATTAAGAGGATCATTTTTACAGAAATGATATTTTTTATTACATACTCATTGAAATTTTTATTATGAAGTTCATCATGAAATTTCCACAAAGATTCTACTGAACATAAATATTTATTTTTCTATTTTTTTTCGCAAAGATATGTTATCATACTGATAGATGTAATAAAGAATAGATAGTTTGATAGTGAGTTGACTCATTCGCTTTCTTACTTAAGAATGTGTAATACAGTTGTATGTCTTTGGATACAATAATTGAAAAGGGACAAATTTTCGCAAGTAATAAATTTTTTTGTTTGTTTTTTACCTCTATTTTACTGTTATATTTATTTATTTGTCCCTTCAAATGGTACTGCACTTTAATGCACAAAAATGGTTGAAATTTTGTTAAATGCCAAGACAATTATAGATTTCGATTTTTTTTCGATCAATAATTTGAACGTCAATTAACGTTTTCTGCACATCCTTCAATTGACGGAATAAAATGTAATCGACGAAAAAAACCTTCATCAGATTTCAAGACTAATCGTTTGACATACTGAAATTGGGCCAAATCTCTTTTTTCTGCAATTTTGATAGGAATACGAGATATAAAGGTGAAGACGATGATGGATTATTACTTATATATCTCAATCATTCATCAATGACATGCAATTTTGGATGAAAACATGATATCCATTTTTATAAAGATTTTTAATCATTAATGTTTTGTCTATATTTTGTCTTTATTAATAATTATATATGTTAATCAATAAGCTAATTTATATAAGTTTACAAAATAAAGTTTGTCTTGATTATCTCTTGTTCTTAGAATGATTTATATTATTGTGAAAAAAATGCAACATGAAGAATTTATTTATTTTATTATGTTCCATGATATTGACATTGATGAATTAAATTTTTCAAAACTTCTATGCAATTGACTTTTCTAACGAACGTACTTCAAATTTTTATTAAATTCAGTTATAAACTATTGCAAAGATTCCGTTGTATCGAAAGCTTTAATGCGTGCCAAAAAAATTCTAGCCCAGTGAACACAGAATGTAAATGTGATATAAAAACAAAGTAACATGTTACGGAACTACGTTAACTTTTTTGACTCATGGGCGATAGAACAATTATATAAATTTTGAGTTTTATATTATGTTTCTATTTGGCGCTCCTATGTTCCGTACTAGTTGAATGGCAATGTAAGTATAATATAATGTCACAATTGTTATGGCTATGTTATGCCTTTGTCACCTAAAAGTATTACTTCGAAGAAAACGTCACAACAATAACGACTCCTATTTTATGCATATGTTATGTCGCAGTCGGTAACTCAGTTTAACATAGCATCAATAAATGAAATAACATCAATGTCCTGCTTGAACTGTCCTCTTATAATATAAAGTTTTAATAGGAAAAATACATAGGAAATATCCTGTAAAAACTTTTTAAAAATTATTTTCCTTTTGAAATCAGTGGAATCCTATTGAACAATCCTAAATATGCACCTAAAATGAAATTTATTAGCAATTTTGTCCAAAGAAATCCTGTTTATATTAAGATTCGATTCTGGCATTCTCAGATCCACAATTCAGTACGCAGCCGACTACGCTATTCTAAAACATGAGAACATGACTTTCGCCTAATCTATTTAAGTTAAAATTTGAAATAATTGAAATATTAATTGAGTTTGCATTCTAGCAAGTATTTTAAGGCAGAAAAAAAATAATTGCCATTTGTAACATATGACAAGTGAAATGCAATTCACAAATTATATCTTTATTCCAATGCATTAGGAAAAGATTTTATCTAGAGTAGCGGTAGATACTCGGCGCCACGTCACCTGCACATTCTGCCCCTTATCCATCTATTGTCTCTCGTCAAACTAGCGACCTCTCGCGGCTCATATTTACAGTGCCGAGTAACACGCTACTCTATACTATAAAGTTCGCGCGTAAATATCTCGATAAATATTCAACATTACGGAATAATTTTCGATACACAATTAATAATGATTGTTAGCTTTCATTTAAATCAAAAATGAGATTTATTCATTGAGTATTTATCGAGATACAGATTAGGCCTCGCCCTTAATTCCGTTTTTCGCATATTTCAACTCAATTTCTAGCCTCTTCTTTGTCAGTTTTACCTAAATGCCATCTAACGCGGACCTCTCTCTCTCTCGTGGCCACAATTTTTCTACGATATATATAGGTATACTCCCAATGTATAAATATAGCAAATGAATGGTTTATGTATTTCTTATGTTAATATTGATAAAAAATACAAATAATATTATTTATTTAAAGATTATCTTAAAATATAAATGATGTAAAACGGAAGTTTATTTTATTTTTGGATATGGATGCTAATGTTTATTTATAACTAACTGAAAAAGATGAAGAAAATGACAACTAAATTTGTTATAAATAATTACAAACGGAATCTATGCAATTAATCCGAATTTTTTCAACGTGATTTTTTTTTCTTTCACTAAAAAAAAGTTACTAACTATGTTACATGGATGGAAATTGGTTCCATTTGTTCATAACGCAATCGTGCCACATCGATTATTTACAATGAATAAGAAATTCTATTAATTGGCTGAAAAAATGAATGGTTCCTAATTTCCGTCCATCAATTCTTTTAATTCATTACTGTTTATGCCAGTCAAACAGCATTTACGCGGACAAATTTGTGAGAATAAGCTCGTATCGTAGCATGGATAGGAAAAAACCAATACATCCTGTATCTTTTGTCAGACTGAATCTCTTTACCCTGATGCACTGCAAATTTCAAAACTCCACAAACGTGTTAAAATAACACACATAAAGCGTATTCAATGTAAAATGTCCATAAACAAACTATACATTATTTGTAGACACTTTTTACACATTTCATAGTGTGTGAAAAATCTATAGTTTGTTTACTGCATTTAACATCAAAGAGGCTTAGCGTGTTAAAAGTGTCTACAAGAATAACACACTTAGATTTGCGGTGGGGAAAGATTGGTATTCATTAATAAAAATGAAAAATAAATTTAAACGAACGTCTATATTTAATACTAATAGAATTTGTAATAAATAATCAAACTCGAGATCATCACGAAAAATTTGAGTTGTTATACCGTAAATACGAGCTTCATTTAAACTAAAGTAACCGACGAAAGAAAATAAATTTTTAAAAAACATTTATTGTTATCTATTGATCTTTTGTGTAAAGTTAAGTTACCATTGCAATTCCTTGATATCGTAGGTTCTTAATATTTTTTAAAATCAATAATATCTAATCTAATATGAAAACTTATTGAAAAAAGGAAGTAAAATCCGCCAAAAGAAGATATCGTTCGATATCTGTGAAAAAAATGGCGCCACGTCACTGTTGTTTAAAAATCCGATATTTTCAAATTGTTCTACCTGTAAAAAATGTTTGAAATTGCAAAACAATAAAATTGTTTTTATTAATTGTTCAATAAACAAATCATATAAGTGTGCGTAAAAATTGTAGATCAAATGTTTGATCAAAACATTAGTAAATATTTATTAAACAAAAAAAATGTTATAAGACGTGGCCCAATTTTCGTAATGTTCTCTATTGATAAAGTAAAAGTAAAACTTTGCGTCATGTACACTTCCCAAATGACTCTGCAAATAACCGAATTCTCATTTTAAATAATTATTAACTTCCCAGTGGGAAGTTATAGTAATGGGTCCGATTTTGGGAATCGCTAATTTTGACATATCTCAACGTTTTAAGGTCCCCAGAGTTGAATACGATAGTTTTTACGTGGATGTCTGTGTGTGTGTGTATGTACGTATGTGCGTATGTTCGTACGTGCGTTCGTAATTATTTTTCGCCTCGATTATCTCGAGAACAAAAAATGATATCGACGTAGGACCAACTGCATTCGACGCGTAATTACGTAACTTAGAACTGAAAAAGTTTTCAGGAAAATCGGTCCAGCCATTTTTTTTGCAGAACCGAAAAACTAGCAAAAATGGAAAATGACCTGAATTTCTCAATTTATAAATTATACCATTTTTTTGACAAAATTTCAAGATCATTGCAGAAATATGAATATCAAATGTTTAGAATAATTGTACAGAAATATGATGACAGTATTTCACAGAAAAAAAATTTTTTAAAAAACGAAATCAGCAATAAAAAAATTTTAAACTCGTGTCAGGATTGAGAAAACAGCATTAAAGACGCTATTATAGTCAATAATAATTGTCAATAATATGGAATTGTGTTCATAACAATTGAACATTGTTACTAACAAGTGATTATTGATCATAGTAATATTTAAATAATGAAAAAAAGGATCTATGAGGTACATTCGAATTCTTCTAACGCACAATTTTTAGGTTAAAGAAAAAAAAATAACCCTACACGTACAACGTATGCAATTACAGTGTACCTTTGCCCTCATTTTCACCTTTTTTTTTAAAAAATAAGAAACATTCACCACAACGTGGCAACGTCGTGTCCTCAAATAATACCTTATATATAAACCAGTGGCTCAAATAATACGTTAGATATAAAATTTTTTTTGGGGACTGTCCCCAAACTATACAAATGTCCCCAAATAATACCTTGTACTTAAGAAATGTCCCCAAATAACACTTTGATTAGATTTATATGTATATATTGTGTATATATATATATATACATATATATATATATGTACAATGTATGTTTTGGGACCCAACTAGATAAAATCAGTAAAATATCGGAAAAAGCCTTCTAAACCTGGAATACAGTCAATTTTAGAGTATAAACAATTAAATGAATAATTATAACGAATTAATTATTAAATGTATGTTTTACGGACTCATCAATAATCCGTATGCATTGGAGACTGTCGCTAGAATAAACATTTAATACATAATTGGAGACTGTCCCCGAAATATACATGTATAGATTGGGGACAGTTCCCAAAATATACATGTATAGATTAGGGACAGTCCCTAAAATATACATTTTATTAATTACAAGTT